AAGTTGATATGAGTTACATCTCTTTCATGCTTATTAGATTTTATTCTGAATTGATTGGTTAGGCAAAGAATAAGATGTATATCTGTTTTCTTATGATTTTGCCTTTTTATTTTCTCTTTTTTTCCCCTCATTTAACAAGGCATAAATAATGATTTTGGGTTTAAAAACTAATAATAATCGGGTAGCTATCTAGAAAGTAAAATTCTTAAAAAGTAAAATTACTTTTGATTCTTAATTTTTATATTATAATTAATGTACTATTTATATTTTGATAGTAAATAAAATATATTTGATATATTAAAAATACATTATTTTTATTCTTTTATGCATCAATGTTATGATCATCGGCGAGTAGGAGTGTGACAATGGTGATTATTTCTAGTGGTAACGATAATTGCCACCGGTGGAGGCGATAGTCGATAGTGGTCATTAGTGACAGAGGTGAGTAGCAATAGCTAGCAATGATGATGGAGTCAGTGATGATGACTAGTAGTTTTTTCTGATCACGATGATTGTTGCTAGACTTGGCGTCAAGCCGTCAATTGAAGTGGTGGCAATTGATGACAATAATAATAATTTATAGAACACTTAAAATATTAAAAAATTGAGTGTCATATAAATCAAATTACTTGATTTTAAAAATATTTTAAAATGCACTCAAACGAAATATATATTTTTCAAAAAATTAAAGTAATTACAAACAAACCCTTAATTAGTAGATATTTTTTAAAAAATAATATCAATATTCTAGAATTAAATTTCACTTACATCAAATTTATATTTCAACCTCCTTATACTTAGACTACTTAGTAGCTCCTTATACTTTCAAGCAAGCTGGGTATTTCATGCATTGGAAATTAATTTATAGAGTAATTGTCACACTAGTATTTTAATTTCTAAATTTATTCTCTTGCACCTTGCTTCATCAGCACCTACACAAATTATTCAGCTAGAAGGTGAAAGAATTTTTTGCTCTTCTAGTTTTTTTGCCCCTTTTCACCCTAGTTGTTAGTTAGGGGTGTTAATATTTGATACCACCCAAAAATCTGATTCGAACCCGATCCGAAAATTCAGGATTATGGTCAACCAGGAAGTGATACATGTCGGGTTCGAATTCAAGAAATTGATCTGTTTCAAAAATCCGGTGGGTTTGATTCGGGTTGACCTAGAAACCCGATATTGACCCAAAATTTACCTGGAAAACAGTGCTGCTCCACCTGCCACTCAGCCAGTACGGCCCTGCGTCCGG